GGGCGCCACCTCCCCAGCTGCGACTGGGGCCGGGCCGGTCGGGGTGCGGGCAGCGTGGGGCGCCTTGGGGTGGCCGGAGCCCTGGCCGAGCCCTTCCTAGCTCTCTCTGGGCGAGGTGCTCACGAGGAACTAGGAGCCAGACGCAAAAGGAGGGCACCTCCATCTCCCTCCCCTCCCGGGCCTCAGAACTCCTGGCTCAGCCAGCCATGCCTTCCTCACCAGCGACCCCAGCCACGCAACCGAGCTGTTATGGACACACATTTTACCAGCCTTTCCAATGGGGGCCTTGGGGGCTCCCCATTCTAGAGACAGGAATACTGAGGACCAGCCAAGAAGGAGGACAAAGGAGCAAACCCCTTTCTCCAGCTCAGCCCCTTTCTGTATTCAGAGACTTGGAAGTACAGAGCAAAGGGCGAAAGAATAGAGGTCAGAAGGAGTAGACCCTGGAGGTCCAGTTTTCCCAGCTGGCCCCTTCCTGCCCCTGGAGCTCCCAGGTGAGGTGCAGGTGAGTGGAGAAGCAAACAGTCCCCTAGGATACAGTCCCTGCCGAGTTTGGTGGAACGAAAGGGAGAAGGTTCAGGAGACAGGGCCCCACCCTGAAACCCCGATCTGGGGAGAAAGGGTCATGTGTCTTGGGCTCAGGGGTCATTCAGGCACCACATGCCCCCGAGGGACGCACACACACAGACTGACACTGTTATTCACACACCTACACACCAGTGCACATGCACACCATTCCCATATAGTTAATGTCCCCAAGCCACACAAGCTAGGAATTGACTACAGCTACAGATCGGTGCTCTCTTCCCACACATGCCAGTCCCTGGGGGCGCAGGCAGGGAGGTCCCCTTAACCCTCTGTCCTTGGCAGAGGGAAGCTGTCAAATCTAGGGCAGATCTGGAAAGTCTGATTGTTTGAAGATGGGGTGAAACCTGTCTGTGGAAAGGACAGTTGAAGTGCCAGCCTGTCTCCCAGTCCTGGCCCCGTCTCCGGCTCCTCTTTCTCTCCCGAACTCTCTCCCTTGTGCCTCCCCCAAGCCTGGGACCTACCCAGCTCCGTATCGATGTGCCCTGATTCCAACTTAGAAACAGATGTTGGAGGAAAAAGAGCAAGAAGCACTCTTGAGGAGTTCCAGGAGGATTGCTGAGGAAGGGACAGCTATTTGGGCAGCTCCCAGGCCCAGAAACAGCCGGGGGGTGGTGGTGGGGGGGGAAGCTAAGAGGGGATTTCAGATCCCGAAGCCATCAGACATTGGGAGGTGCAGCTCTGCACGTGCGAGCACCCACACAAGCACACGGTGGACAGTGGAGTCACAGATGCGCCAGACTGCATCCCTGGAGGGCTGCTCTCAGCTGTGTTGTCGGCACATGCGGGCCCCCCAGGCCTCAGGATGCACCCGGGTGTGCACATGGGTCACTAAGAGGAAATAAGGCAAAGTCCAAAGGACCTTGGAGAGTTTTTGTCCCGACGCCCTGCCGTTTGCCAGTGAGGACATGTAAGGGATGTGTCCAAGATCCAGCGCCTAGGGTCCCACCCAACCTCCCCAGGAATGGGGGGTGCTGAGGAAGGAACTGAACCCTGAGGTGTTTCTGGAGAGTCTGAGCTCTTGGCAAGGGTTTCATCCTCTCTCTGCCCCTCTAGTTCCCCAGAGGGGAACTCGTTCCTCAATGGGCACTGGGTCTGGGCTGGGGAGGTGGTCGCCTAGTGCTCAGGACTCAGAGGGAGGCCCACAGTTAAACTGAGAAGGCCTGAGATAGCAGTTAGATCTGGGCTGCTGATAACCCCAGGCACACTTCGCCTGACCCCACCTCTGCTGCCGGGAGCCCAGCCCAGCCCAGCCCAGCTCAGAAGAGAAGCTGGCCCAGCACCCCCTCGCCCAGCCCCAAGTCCCGCCAGCCTCCCTTTCCTTTTTCCCGCCCCAGTAGGGGGTGTTAGGGGGACTCGACTGATAAGCTTCTCAGCTAAGGCCCCTCCCAAGATCCTGTGCCTCTCAGTTTTGTCACAGACCCCTCTTGTCTTTACACCCCATCAACAAGGACGGGCGGGACAGAGCCCGAGACAGTCGCCCTCTGACCGGGCACTCTCACCTCCTCCCTCCCCACTCCTACACCCCAACACTCCCCCTGTGAGGAGGTAGCAGCCTCGAGGATGGTGCCAGAGGGGCTGCCCAGACCCCATGCCTCCTCTCTCTGCCGGGAGGAGACCAAGAGGGAGCATCCATGCTCTAGGAAGGCTCCCCTCCCGGTTGTAACTCTGCCACCTTCCCCCTCACGCTCAGACAAGCCTATTTCAGGCACTCCTGGAAACCCAGATGCCTCTGGAAGCTGAGAAACTCCCCAAGCTGGCTGCTGAGGCTTCTCCCAGCAGTGCAGGCCGGAACTGGGAGGGTCAGGAGTAAACACGGGGGTGGGGGGGTGGCGGGGGGCGCAGAGAAACGCCAGGATGAAGGAGCAGAGCGCAAGGCCCCTTGACTCCCCTGGCCCAGAAGAAGGGCTCATCGGGACCATCCTTAGGGCCATAACGGGAGACCCACCGGGTCCCAGGCTACCATCTCCGGCAGAGCAGCCTCTGAGGCGGTCTGGGGAAGCCATCATAGCCGGGGCCGCCCCGGCTCCTTCCTGGTCCTGCCACCCACTCCGCTTGGCCCACTGATGCAGCCGTGGGCATCAATTCCTAATCCAGAACGTGGGAATAAAAACAGTGCCAACCTCAGGAGGATATCGCAAGAATTAATGAGATCATATATAGTAAGTGCTCAATAAATAGTCCCTGTTATTTTCTCATCAGTAAAGTGGACATAATACCCACTTTGTTGTGGCATTATATGAAATAACAAGTGGAGATGCTCTGCATATTGTTATTCACCAGCCAAATAGAAATTAGTATTTTTGTTGCAACGTAAAACCTCTAAAGTCAGAGATCCTCATTTAAATCCAGACTGGGTTTTTTGTATCTGTCCTTCATTACGACGCTTCTCCAGAGAAATCCAATGTATTTTCAGACCCGTCGCGTCTTTTGTCCTCACCAGCATAGCTGGAAAGTAGCAAGCAGGGGTGCACGGACTTCTCTCACACTTTTGCAGACAGGACATTGTGAAGCGATTTGCCCGAGGTCACACTTGGCCTCCCAGAGGGGCCCTCCTCGTAGCCTGAAAGGGTGGCCGGGGCCAGATGCTCTCCCTGCATCTGTTCCAGCTCTCAGATCTGAGACCTGACCCCCGGCCCCAAGGGCTGTTTTGGCAAATTACCAGCTCTCTCTAATCACAAAGGGGACACTCCAAAAGTGTGAAACAACCTGAGAAAACAGGTCCAGGACATTCCATCCATTTTCTGAGGCTTCAGTTATGTAAGTTCTGATTGAGTCTGGCCACATATCTCCCGCCCCAGCTGGGTGAGGGATCGCAGATGTCATCACCACCATACTGCAAAGTGCAGGGCTCTGGGCCGAGGTGATGGGTCAGAGTGTGCATGAGACCAGGGCTCTGCCCTGGGGTGGCAGGACCCAGACGGACACACAAGGAGGAAGCTGTGAAAGGTGGCAGGGAACACACTAATGGCCTTGGAGGGAAAGCGGTCGCCCGGGGCCAGGCCGGGCACTCAGGGAGAGGCCCAGCTGACATGGGGGAAGGGGGGGTGGGTCCACCATGTGGAAGGGGGCCAGCATGCCGAGGAATCTTTAACCCATGGTAAGTGAAGCTGTTGGGCTGGAGCGTAGGGAAGAATGTGGACCCCATGCTGGAGAAGCGGGTGTGGGACAGTTTCTAAGAAGCCTGGAATCCGAGGTTAAGGAGTTTTGACTTTGTCCGGTAGACAGTGGGGAGCCATGGAATGTTTTTGAGCATGAGAGCGACCCAGTGAATGTGATATTGGGGGGGGGGGAATTAGACAATTTCAGATAAACGGGAGAGGGAAGGGTTAGAAAGCCCTGGGGTCTGCCTCAAGAAGTGCACAGGCTGGTTGGAGAGGTAAGATGTACAGACAGGCATGGAGGACTTACCAGGCTGGTGACATCAATCCATATCTTTAATTAAATCAACCGATGACTATGCAGGCTGAGGAGGGAGGCAGGGTAGTGAATAGGGAAGGGACTGGGCTGGGAGGAGGACTGAGTCTCATTTCTTCCCTTCCATGACCTGAGCTAAGTCAGCTAAGCCGCTCGGGCCTTCCTTTGTTTAGGAAGAGAGCTCTGACTTCATAAAAAAGGGTGGCATTTACTGAGCCCCCTGTGTCCACACTGTGCCAGGGCTCCACATGCTGTTTCTCGTTTCATCCTCCCAACAACCACAACGACTCACAACCAAGATAGGAACAGTGATGCCCATTTCATAGATAAGGAAACTGAGGCTCAGAAAAGTTAACTTGGGGGTATAGCTCAGGGATAGAGCATTTGACTCCAGAAAAGTTAACTTGCCCAAGGGCACACCGGCTGGGGATTCCAGAAAGCAGGCTCTTACCCTCTCAGCTGCGACTGGAGCAGGCCTTGAAGGGTGTGTGGAGTTTGGAAAGAAGGCAAAAAGCAAGGAAGCTCGCTTCCTTGGGAGAGGAGGCTGCAAATCCGGCAGATAGAAATGGCCGGGACTGGGGAGGGGTCTGCATGTAAGCCAGGTCATCCAGAGGAACTGCTACACATGGTGGGGTGAGGGTGGGTTCAGCCTCTCCCACATCTGTACCACCCCCGCCCCCCCCCCC